ACCTCACCCGTGAAGATGTAGGTATGGTTGGCCGTCTCTCGTCTTCTCCTGTCTCTTTTTTTTTTTTTTTTTTCCGGGTCTTCTCCTGTCTCTTGAGCTCCTGCCTGCTCGAGAATTCTGAGGGCATAGTTTTTTGTTTTTTTTTTAATACTCACACTAACCACGTCTCACTTTTCTTCGTTTATTTTGTTTGCTGGGTGTGTTGTGGTTTGGTGTGTGGTACGGCGGAGGCCCTAGAGGCCGAAAAGATTCAGTGTGAGTATTTCCTCCCCACCTTTCGGTATCATGTCTGACATTCTGACCACATTCATGTACTACTTCCATAGATTCGCATTCTATCTGCATTCATTCCCAACTCCCAGAGATTTGCATTCTATCTACATTCAATGGATGATATGGCACCTAACTTGATTCTTTGTACACACAAGTGTCGCCACTGCTCAGTTCCAAAGTGGGCGGTACCGGTACCACCCTCCATTTTCCAAGCTGGGGTGCTGGTAGCTTTTAGGCTCGGGAAAATTCAAATTCAAATTCAGGCTCGTCCGTTTAGCCTCGGCTGTACTGGTGGTTTTAAGCACCAGTACACCACACATCAGCCCGCGGGTGTCAGCACGAAACCCGCACCACTTCGGAGGGCGCCAATTTTTTTTTTCAATGGCGCCCCATGCCGCACAGCCCCTCCGAGTTTTGCTTGTGGCGACAAAAAACTTTCTGCAAGGCTGGGGCCGTGTACATGCGGTTTAAGGCTGTTGAACAGTTGAATAGGATTTTGGTAGTTGGCGGTGGCCACTTTCTCGCCCTTCAGTTGAATAGGATTTAAAGGAGGGTACCGTCTATGACACCAGCCGTAGTGCAGGTGTATGGTTGTTAGGGTTGGCAGTCCTTTATAGGGTAGCAAGTGTACCGTAGCAGTTGTAGACACACAGAGTAGTCTTAGCCACGTGGGGGAGTTTTGCATCCAAGAGCTGCTGCTTGGTCTGTAGAAAAGACCTGCAGGCTTAACAGGTCTTTTCGGCCTGTAAGCTATATAAGTTATAAGCTGGATGAGGTTTCCATATACCCGTATTTCTGAACCGGGAGTAATGTCGAGGACCCTGGCCTCTGAATTGATGAAGTAATGGAATCTGAATTTTGAGGGCGGGGAAAAAAGGTAAAAAGAAAGACAAAACGAGCGAAAATGACTACAAATTCTTTTACCACTCAGGAGTGAGACCCAAGTCAACCCCTGTCTACCCACCCATGTTAACCCATGTTAACCCACCCATGTTAACCCACCCATGTTAACCCACCCATCTTAAGCCATGTGTACCCACCCATGTTAAGCCATGTTAACCCACCCATGTTAAGCCATGTTAACCCACCCATGTTAAGCCATGTTAACCTATCAACTCTCAGATGACAAATTGGGCGGGTCCTGTAAGGCACGGGTACGTCTGTTTTGTTTTAACAGAGGCGTACCCCGTGACATTATTATTTCCATCTGATTCCATCAGGATTTGAAGTCCTGATCTGCTCATTAACAGAGGGGTACATGTGTATATACCATTCAGCCACACAGGCCGGGTGGCCTCTGGGACATCCATTTCAGTACTCATCAGAGAAGTCGAAATGAGACCCAAAAAAAAGAAAGAAAGAAAAAAAAAAAGAGAGAAATGAGGCAAAAAAAAAAAGAGAGAAATGAGGCCAAGGGACAGTCAGCCCATTAAAGTGCGACCATGCTACCCCACAACCCACGTGACCTGTCCTATAGTTATATGTCATCTGAAAGGGAAGAGCTTAGACCACCATCAAGGAGGGGGGAGGGGGGGGGGAAGGGTAAGCAAGGAAAAACATGGGAGTTGTCTTCAGACCAGAAGAACTCCTTCTGGTACCGTCTTCCCCCGAATAGAATGCACGGTCATTATGGGCGTATTTGGCTCGCATGCCAGTCCAGATGCAGCGAAAATGACCATACATTCTATTCAGCGGAAGAAGGTAGACGTTACATCCTGGAACGGGGGAAGGTTGGGACACAGGGAGGGAGAGAAAAATCAACCAACCATCTGTAGGAGGGCTCTATAGACCCCAACTACCATCTGCACCCGAATACAACAATGTACATCGTACGGTCATTCTTGCTGTATTTGGGGAATCTCTTTCAGTCTAAATTTCTAAGTACAGCAGTAATGACCGTACGTTGTGTTTGGGTGAAGAAGGTAGGCAATGAATGTGTGTGGTAAGCTGGCGAGACGTGTCAGTTGTGACCACCTGACGGCAGTTTCCTTATTGGGACAGTGATGATCAGAAGCTGCTAGACGTTGCAACCGGCAACGAGGGAGTGTTGTGAAGGGGGGAAGGGAGGGGGCGGCGCCGGGAGAAGAAGAGGATCAACGAACCAGCTTTAGGGGGCTAGACCCCAGCCAGACCACGAAGACCTACCTGTGCCGAAAAGGAAAGAAAAAAAAAGTGCTAGGCTTGCAACACTGGTCAGTTATGACCCACCTGACCACAATTTCCTTATTTGGAAAGTGATGACCAGAAGAAGTACCACCGTTAGAAGGTCAAGACTACAACCATTCGATGCTAAGAACCACCCCATTCACAAAAAAAAAAAAAAAAAAAAAAGAAGAAGAAGAAGAAGAAGAAGAAGAAGAAGAAGAAGAAGAAGAAGAAGAAGAAGAAACAGCACAGTCAGACGAGGAGAGTTCTACTGTCTTCTATAGAAGTTCTACTACCGTTTTTTTTTCAGCGCAAGTTTTCAACCATAAAAAAAGACCGCCCGATTTTATAGCTGTATTGGGTGCAACTTTTAGTCTAGATAGTAGATACAGTAATAATGATGGAGCGTTCTATTGGGGGGGGGGAGGGTAAGTACTTTTAGATGCCCATGCGGGTGAGCGGACCCATTTTTTCACGGATACGATAATGGGCTACCATCTTCCCCCAACGCACCCTGACAATGAATGTATTCAGACCATCGTCCCGATACAGTCAAAATGAGGATGCGCTTACCTCTCTTTTCCGAGCTTTCTATCCGTCTGCATCTCTGCAGCATTGTGGCTCAGGAGCAGACCTATACGCTATGGTTGCAACATGCATACATGCAGCTGGCAATGTCAACAGAAACTTCCACGGACGCAGAATCAGCAACACAGACTTGAGATGGCCCAGTGTGGGCGCCCACACAAAAAAACTCTCAACTCAGAGATATGGCCATCGGCAGGAACTCAGCTCAAACCAAACTTGTCACATCTCATGGCTATGGCGTCTGAGCGCCAGCTCAAAACAACTTGTCACATCTGATGGCTATGGCGTCTGAGCGCCAGTCTGGAATTCCCACCCGAACACTGTATCCACCGTCAGACACACTCACACGCACGTACGTACGCACAGAACACTTGGATCTACCCTGAATGTCTGCACACGTACACACACGCTAACTACGAACTCGTCACGCTGGCGGTTGTGGCATAGCCGCTGTCGTCTTCCTCCTCTCTAGTGGCTATGGCCGCTTATCCTCTTCCACCCTCGGGCTCTCTTGCTGACCACCGGTGAACTCAGCGCACAAGTCACTCGAGCAGCGCTTCCGTGTAGTTCCCCCGATAACGAATGAATGACTGATCGCTGCCTCTTTATTTATACTGTTTCGTTTGGCGGTCTGGGCCTCTGCCCGATGTCCCGGGCCCTCAAGATGTGCAGTCCCACTCTGGTACTTGCTGCGAAACGGACTGGACTGGGGCTTCCCTTTCACTTGCCCCTTCGGTGTTGACTTGGGACTCCTGACCTTTCAGAGATCGACGGACTGCCCTTTCAACCTGCGAGAGGCCAAGTTAACTCTTTGAGCACCACTCTAGCCACGACCTACTGACCTTTCAGAGGAGGACGAAGGGGTCAGTTGACGTTTCGAAAGGTCAACTGTAGATTTCCCATTTTAGGAAACTTGCAGACGACCCTTAAGACTTCTAAACAACTAATCTACGGATCAAATCCAGACGACCCAAGCTGCACACACAAAACAGTTGTACACGGTTTTTGGGACAGGTCGCAAGTTCAAAGCACAGAGGGTCAACGGTCAACTATACAGGGTCAACGGTCAACTATACAGGGTCAACGGTCAACTATACAGGGTCAACGGTCAACTATACAGGGTCAACGGTCAACTATACAGTGGGCTAGGGATGGTCAGGGGATCGAGTCCTGGTATCTGCGATGTTGAGCGAACTGGGTGAAACCCTTTGATGGTAGGTCCATGATAAGAAAAACGTGGATGTAGTAGCTAGGTTACATGAAAGGGAAGCATGAATCTAGGGGACGGATGGATTTATTCGGGGACCAGAAAATTAGGTTTTGCAAATTTAGGGTCTGCCGTCCTGGCGCTCGTGTATGAGTCGTGGCGTCCATGCAGTTTTTTCTTTCTTTCTTTTTTCTTTTTTCTTTTTTTTTTCAAATTCTTTCTCGGCGTTATGTATCAATCGTGGTGTACAGGTGCATGGAATGATGATGGTGGATATGCACATCTGTTTTTAACTGTTCATCCAGTAGCTTGTGTACGAGTTGCGGTGTACAGGTGCCTGGAATGATGATGATGATGATGGATATATGCGCGTCTATTTATAGCCTATGAGAACTCCTTTTGCTCCGTTGAGTTTATATGCTCGGTTGATGATGTATGGATCATGCATGCCATATGAGGGATGGTCACATGACCACTTTCCTTAATGTATCTGACTGCAATCACGACCAGACCTGGATGCATCTGACCGCAATCACATGTATGTGCGTGCCGTGAGTGCATGGAATGGTGTGTGTGTGTGCGTTGTTAGCCTTCGCAAACTCTGGTAACCCTCTCATGTGAGTTCTCAACGATTGGCAGGTTGAGCTGCTGAATTGACAGTGGGTAGCTGGAAGGTGGAGAAGGGGGGGGAGAGAGAGAGAGAGAGGAATTACTTAGCCAGGGCAAAGAAGGGGCGGGGGGATTGTATGAGGCCGTAGTGTCGCTCTGACGTGTTGCCTGATGAAGATGGAGGAGAGTTTGGGTACGGCAGACAACGGGGTGGTGAGGTGCAAGTTCATCAGTCGCAACACAAGTGGAATGCCCATCATTCTGCACATGTGCCTGGCTCCTACCATCAGAAGATGCGGGAGCAGAGTGAGATCGATAGTAGAGGGCACAGTGGTGAGGCAACTGAAGGCGGCTGGACTTGGAGCGTGGAACAGGACCATGAGTGGCATGGTGTTCAAAGAGACCATGCCCATGGGAATGGACCAGATGGTAGCAAGTTCTATGGAGGAGGAGCCCACGCAGATACACATATATTTTCTAGAGGTGGGTACGCTCGTTGGCCCGTCGGGGGTCCTTGAAGATGAAGAGGAGCAGCCGGGGGGGGGGTGCGCAAAAGCCCTGGAAGAGACGAAGGGCTCCGAGCTTGTCATGGCTTGTGACCGGCATTGCAGCCGAGTATTGGAGCTTGTACTTTCCTGTGTCGAACCGACCGAGCTGGTCGAATTCGGACTCCGCACAGAGCTGAGAAGGGGGCTGCCACATTCGCACTTGTTAGCCGATGAGCCCGCTTTGCAATCGGGATGGGTGCAAATGTCGTTGAATGCATGCTCTTCCGATGTTGTTGAGACATTCTTGCGAGCGCTTGTGTCATCCACATTGTAGATATCGCAGACAGCCAAGGCCAAGGAAAAGCGGAAGGCGGAGAACCATAGGGCAAAGCTTGTTGCTATGCTGGAGCTCTTGTGCAACAAGTTGGGAGACTCCGCTGAGTGGCTCATCAGCAACAAGTACGGATTGCACGTGCTGAGGACTTCGATCCAGCTGTTGATTTGTGAAAATAGCGACAGGGACGGTGATGCACATGGGCGTGGCAGAAAGCCGAAAGAGAGCACCTTCGCTGGCCTCGCAGCAAAACTACACCATGCTCAGAAAGGCTTGGGAGGTACGTGAACAGAAATAGCTTACCCCTTGCTTCTTAAAGCACTAGTAGACAAGGTAATGCAGAAGATCGCACCGAAGATCGACTCTTTGTGCATGGATGTGCACGCTGCACCTGCTTTGCGAGTTTTGTTGTTTGCAGTCGATGCGGTCTCCAATGGCGCTAATACTCCTGGGGGTGGCGTTGAGGCGGGCGGCAACAAGATGACAGTTCTCCGTGTTGTTGTCCTCATTCTGAGCCGGGGGTCGCAGGAGCACCTCTCCAGCTCCGTCGAGGGGCGGCAATTGGAAGGAACAGATGCCGAACTTGTTCGAGATATGGTGCGAGATATGTCTGGAAGTCATGTGGTGGAGGCGATTTTGAAACTGGTGTCAGACGCTCTCTTCTTGGAGATCTTCCTTCGTTTCTTCCACGGGTAGTTGGTCACTCTTGCTCTTCATCCCCGCGCAAACTTTGTGGTACATATGTTGATCGCATGTGCAAGGCACTCAGGACAAGTGAGCATGATGATGGAAGAGCTGGAGAGCCGTTTCGGTGACCTGGTCTTGCACGATGCGCAGGGGTCGTTGTAGCACTGTTGGCTGCTTGTGGGAGGTATCGCGTGAAGCAGCGCGAGGTGTGCAAAGCCCTATCGCATGCGCTCGGTAAGGCGGATCCATCTGTGTTTCCGTGCACGATACCTCCGTCGCTCGCTCCTTAGGCAGCCAATGATTTGGTGCTGAAACTCCTCTGGTATGGCGATTGCGGATATGATGATGGAAGCTGGAAGTCAAAGAAGAAGAAGAAGAAGAAAAGGAAGACGCCGATGAAGCATTTGGGCAATGATTATGATGCAGAGGATGAGGGTGGCTTGTCTGGAGGATGGAAGAGGTTCCGCTCATGTGGGTGATGGGATGCGTGATTCTGCAATCTGTATTCCAGTGTCCGCCAGAGTGTTGTCAGGTGTTCTTGGATGCCATCGAGCGGCTAGGGCCTGACATTCTGAAGGCCACAGCACGCGATCCTGGAGGGAGCAGAGTTCTCGAGGCCTACCTCAAGAGTGGAGCGCCACAGAAATCAAAAGGTAATGTCATTGCGGAATTGAAGGGGCACTTTGGGGAGTTGGCAGCAGTCCCGGCGGGGTCTCACTGTGTGAAGAGGTGCTATTTCACTGGCGATATGAAGCAGAAGGAGATGATTGCCGCCGAGCTTGCACAGGTACAGTCTGCGCTCAGTCGGACATCGTACGGTAGCATTCTGCTGAACAAGTGTAGCGCCCAGGAGTATGCAGCGCAACCGCAGGGCTGGCACACACATCAGATGACCAAGGAAAAAGTCATGGCAGGCATTTGTGGATCTTTTCCGGTCCGATGGGGGCGCCGTTCCCATGGGAGCAGGGACTGCAGTGCAATTGGCAGGCGAGGTCCTCCAAGGAGAGGGTATTGTGAACCCCTTATCAAGGCAGTGGGAAGAGGGTAAGAGCGGGGGTGCTAAAAGGAAGAGAAATGATGTTGATATGCCTGAAGAGGAAGTCAAGATGAGGCAGGTTTCAAATTTGGATGAAGATTCCACACTCCAGGAAATGACGAGTCGGCTCGGAGCGAAGAGTAAACATTTCAAACAGTCGACTTCACAGCCATCAGCGACCATTGAGGCGAGGGGTAGAGATGACCGAGACACTGTGGGCACATCGAAAAAAGTTTCAGGGAAGGCTGAGGGGAAGCATCACAATCCGGATGATGGCAATGAGGAAGTCGACGACATTAGGCAAGCAGCAGATGAGATGGAGAGAACCATCATCTCGCAAAGACGAAATTGAGATGCTCTTTTCGAGGAAGCACGCGAAAAGGGGACTTCACGAAGGTGTTAATCGCTCTGTGGATGAAGGTGGTCGCAGTGCTGATCATGTGACGACTTCTGGTAGAACGAGCGAGCACTGGAGTCCAACGAAGAAGAAAGGTAGGAGCATTCAGCAGAGCGAGGGGCCAATGTCCAAGGAAGCAGAAAGGGAAGAGGAAGATATCGACGTGAAGGAAACAACCCGGAAGAATACTGGAGTTGATGCCTCCATGAGCAAGATTGTGTCGGCCATTCAGAGCTTGAAAGGTCCCAAGAAGCGTAGTAGCAAAGATACGTCGGCAAAGGAGGGAAAGACATTTCTGACGAAGAGGAGAAAAGCACAGTTTGTGATGTCGTAGGAGAGACGCACAAAGAGTAGACATTTCAAAGATTTGGAGGAAGCATGATGTTCGTTACCTCTCGAGGGTTGGATTTGGTTCGGCCCATTTTCTTTTTGCAACGTGCCAATGATGTCCCAATGTCCCAAGTTCAAAGGTACGGAGAGGCATTTCAAGCTTTGCAAGGGAAGGAGAGTTGTTGGGTTCTTACCTTCGACGAAGAGAAAGAAGAAATGAAAGGAAACGAGCAATCTCTTAAACAACCAACGCGGCGGAACCTGAATTGGTGAGCCTAATGGCCTCCCGGTGAAATTTATAAAAAACAAGAAAAGAAACCCACTTAGCTTGTCATTAGACTGACCCCGGGCATCCAAACTGTCCATTGGATGGTGACGTAAGCTTGTCATTAGACTGACCCCGGCCATCGACGATCTCATCTAGGAGTATAGGGCTGTGCTTCCCATTTTATTCTCGTATGCTGATATCCTGTCTATACACAGTATGGCACATCGCATTTAGGTTACGAGCCACCCTATTGTGCCAGGAACGGCACCTAGGCTGCCTGGCTGGGCAACCCCTTGGTCGGGTTTCCGTGCAGTCGGACCAAGAATCGGCCTCAAACAGACCACCTGCAGCGCCTGGGGCCGTCAAACATAACTTTCCCGGGGG